AGGCTCTATTTCGAGTCAACCTTTATTAAGAACCCTCGAAGCCTGTCACAGGTACCATTTCTTCATCCAGGTCATTCCACTTTATGACTGCCTCTTTTTGTGAAGGATATGTGGGCCAGTGCGTTGTTAACAGACACAGCGAAGTTGAACAGGATTTTGACGGTATAGCCTTCGAAATCGGTTACAAATATGTTAGAGGTATATTTCTTTAACTTCCGTTTGTGCCCTGGTGTATCCGTTTATCTGCTTTCGAACAGTTATCTCTAACTGTTCTGGTAATAGGACAGCCCTTTTCACACGAATTGCCTTTCGTGCATTTTTCCGTACCTGAAATGTGATAATTTTTTATTAGTTATGCTCGTATGGGACGAGTTTTCCCTTTCAACCTTATCAGGTCATCTAAGTGTGCTCTTATCATGCGTGTCCTAGTCCGGTCCTCTAATCAATCTAATATATTCACGTTCGGTTCTTTTATTCCCTTTCTTAAAGTTAATTTCTTTAATCTTCAGGACTACTTTCGTTACATACCTCAGCACGTTCTTTGACTACCTGACAGAATTGATCATGTGTGGCGTCCATAAAGATTCTGCATGATTAACGATAGGCCTTACCTATGTCATTTTTTTTATTTCCCCATTAATTTCATACCATTTGCGAAGACAAATAATTATTTATGAACACAAGATCATAAGATTAAAGGAACATTACAGTAGGCCTCTTGGCAGATGCTAGCCAGGTCTAACTCACACTCAGCTACACTCACTCATATACCCTTCCAAATTATGTTTTAAAGCTACGTAAATATGACATGATCTCTTCTGTCATGCAGTTCACATACACCGTACTTTTTTTTGAGCTGCCATTTTTTGTCTCCTTTCCACTAGATGTTCTTTGATCTATTGTAATGCGTTTCCTGCATTACAATAGATCAGAGAGAGAGAGAGGAGAGAGAAGAGAGAGAGAGAGAGTGAGAGAGAGAGAGAGAGAGAGAGAGAGAGAGAGAGAGAGAGAGAGAGAGAGAGAGAGAGAGAGAGAGAGAGAGAGAGAGAGAGAGAGAGAGAGCGCCAATTTGTGACTGCTGGGTCAAATTTCGGCTCCAGGGCCAGCTTATGAAATCTAGTTCCACCGCTTCCTTATCCAGTTCGTTCCTCTTTCAGACTTGATAAGTATTTCCTAACTATTATTGTGACTCATCTGTGTCTTTAACTTGCATCTTTTTCTATTCATCAAGATTATACAACCAGTCATCACTATACCCACTCCTGAAGACTCCCTACACACCCGGTCACCAGGGATGATATTGTGAAACAATGTTAGGATCTCATGTGGCAAAAGTGATAGCCTAAAGAAATTAGTGGTACCAGACACTTCGCTACATTACTCAGAGATAGACAGACAGACAGACAGACAGACAGACACACAGACAGACACACAGACAGACACACAGACACACAGACAGACATACAGACAGACACACACACACACAGACAGACACACAAACAGAAAGATAATGAAAATGAATTGTAATGTGATTGTTCATGGAGGCGTTATTGCCCTTATCACATAATTCCTAGTCAGCTAGGCTGAAGTGTTGTGAATGGCGTCGCTGGTAGGTTACTGTTGGATGTAGTCAGCAACTGGATGGGTGACCATGTCTACACAGCCTCACCTTTACCTAGACTCACAGAGGTATTATTATTATTATTATTATAATCAAAAAGAAGCGCTAAGCCACAAGGACTATACAGCCTCACAGAGGTAGCTCAGCCAGTCATGTGCCGGGCTCCGCCCCCCAACAAGGTATACCAATAAAGTCACCATATTTTTACTCGGGTGATTATTGGTGGGGCGGGAGCTCAAACAAGTCTATGGACTCGTCATGTATATTTAAGACTACATTTTCTTGCTCTCCTCGTAGCCTTTTCTCATTTTACTACATTAATTTATCCAATCAAAGATGATTATCCCCACCCCTCCCATTCATCAAGTGCTGTATGATCCCACGGGTTTAGTGCTTCCCCATGAGGATACCTAAAGGATGTTTTCTGTGGTTAACGCCACCGCAGCTCTGTCACAAACCAGGCCTCATGGTGGATCAAGAACTGATCAGCTGGGTTATTACTGCTGGTGGCAAGCAGTCTTAACGTACGAACCACAACCCAGCTAATCAGGAAGTGACTTCAAGAACGTATCAGTTCCCTCTTAAAGACAACTAGGGATCTGTTGGCAATTCCTCATGTATTAAGGAAGGCTGCTTAAAAGTCTTGGGCGATGAGGGCAAGTACTTTTCACTGTGGCAACCTTTGACTTAACTTTTTACTACTACTCTTTTCCTTTCTGTTTGTCAGAAAGTTAAAAATCCATCTGCTCACTTTTTTTTCAGTTATTCCTTTTGCATGCATTTTCTATGCTATTACACCATGAACGCACTTGTCGAAGGCTTTTGAAAAGCCTGTGTATACTCCAACTGCATTTTGTTTGTCTTCCAGAATTTCCAAGACCGTGTAATGGTCCAGTGGTTGCAAGAGGCAGGAACGACCTGCTCTAAACCCATGCTGCCCTGGGTCGTGCAGTTGTGAATCTATGGAGTTTTAAGGGTTTTAAACCCTCTCAATGATTTTTATACTTTGGGACGTCAGTGTCTTACTGAAGGTGTTGAGTCCTCTTAGCCTGAATGTATCTAAAGCAGAGATATGAGAGTGGGGTCTTATAACACTGTATCTGGAAGAGGGGCAGCAGTTGGAGACGGTATCACAAGTGGACAGACACACTAGTGGAAGTAGTAGGTCATGCCAATAATTTGGGACAACAATCAGCAATAGAGTTGAAGATATCCTCTCTGTCAAAATTCCGTGGTGTTACCGTGTCAGACAAGAATCGTATATTATTTGTAATGGTATTGTATAATTATATAATGGTATTATTTAATTATATAATTATATCGTATAAAATCACTGTTGTTATACCTTGTATCTCGATCGCTAGCGCACTCAGCTCACACACTGAGGTCCGAGGATCGATCCCCGGTACAGCTGAAAACATTAGGACGTATTTCCTAAGGAACCTGCTCTCCATGTTCACCTATCAGTAAAATAGGTACCTGGGTGTTAGTCGACTGGTGTGGGTCGCATCCTGGGACAAAATTGACCTAATTTGTGGGAAATACTCTGCATAACAAGGGGCTTTCTATATGGTAGTATGTCGTTGATGTCAGCTAGGCCTGTATACTTTGTACTTGTAGAAATAAAGATATTATAATCTTGTATTAGATTTTTTTTTTTTCAACAAGTCGGCCGTCTCCCACCGAGGCAGGGTTACCCAAAAAAGAAAGAAAATCCCCAAAAAGAAAATACTTTCATCATCATTCAACACTTTCACCACACTCGCACATTATCATTATTAGATGATTTGATATAATCATTGCATTATCCAGCTTACAATCCGTAGTTACTTCTATGAATAAACTCAGTATTATATAGGTATTTTCTCCTCTATGCACAGAGAAAAATACGTGAATAAAATCTCGAGATGTTAGCTTGGTGTGGAAATAATAAACGTTGGTGTGAGTTTTCACACTAAATCACCAACATGTAATCAGTAGACTTTTAATATGATAAACTATGTTATGCACTCACTGCAAGGTGTATATTTCTCAGTATATACAGAGTTTATTTTAATGTCTATTTCAAGTATTAGAACATTCTTGAGGTTAGTCTTTTAATACACCAGTCATCCTCCATCGAGGTAGGTGGTCCGAAAAAGAAGAAATACACACACCATCACTCTTTCAATCACTTTCTTGCCAGAAGCGTGCTGACTTCCCAGTTCAGATGGCCTTCTGGAATGTTTGCCGCCCCCTCCATCAGAGTACAGGCACTGTACTTAACCACATCCAGGACTCAAATCTGGTTTCCTTTGAGTCCTTTCATAAAGGTTACCTTGTTCACACACTAACTGCAAGCCGTCATAAAACCCACTTGCATCCATTCCTGTCTAACATGCTCACACAAGTCTGCTGGATGTTCAGGCCCCTAGCACACAAAACAGCATTTTTCTCCTGCCCTTCAACTATTCCTGGGACGACCCATAACCCCCCCCCCCCCACGTCTCCACCCTGGATTTATGCACCCTCCTAGTCTTCCTATATTTCTGTATCTTCCCAAAATATCCAAACCACCTTGATAACTCTTCCTCAGTCCACTGAATAATACTTTCTGATAACTCCCACACTTCTAATCTTAAAGCCCCAAATTATCTGCATAATATTAACACCACACATTACCCTTTACCACTACATCACTGCTCTCAGCCTCCTCCTTGCCGCAATGTTTAAAACCTATGCCTCACACCCTTTTAATCGTTGGTACCGATATACTCTGGTACATTCCTCCTTTTGCCTATATGGATCACGTTCTTTATCTCCACAAATGGCTCAGTGCACCACTCGCCTTTTTCCCCTTGTCAGTTCTATGGTTCACCTCATCTTTCATAATACAGTCTGCTGACAAGTGTACTCCCATATATCTAAACACATTTATTTCCTCTGTACCCCCTTCCCCCAATCTGGTCAATCTCTTTCAGTGCCTATTTTTTTTTTTATTATTGTAAATCTCATTACCTTGCTGTTTCTTACGTTCATTTTTAATTTCTTTCTTTTTCATAACTTTTACATAACCTTTCAGATTCGTGAACAATCTTTGCAACCTCTCTTTACACTCCCTAAAAAGAACCATGTCATGGGCAAACAGCAACTGTAACAGCTCCCACTTTCTATCAGATTAGTTATCCTTTAATCCCACACCTCGCCGCACCACCCTTGAGGTTGATGTACTATTAAAGTAAGACTTCAGTGACTCACACGTTATGTTCATAAATTTCTGCGTAAAGTATAATGCAGATAAATAAAGCCGGGCTAAGGTTTAAAATATCACTACCATTAATAAATAGATTTGATTTTTGATAACTAATAAGAAATCTAATTCTGCACTTTCTGTTCACAGCAATATGCTTGCGGGACTGCGGCATTGGAGGGCGGTGTGTGCGGCCCAACTTATGTATGTGTTTGGGCGGCTTAATATTATCATCCTGTGGTAGCACTGGAAGAAATGGCTTTGGAAGAAATGGTGTTACAGGAAGAAATGGCATCAACGGGGGAGGTACTGTTGATGGAGTTAGCATCGGCGTAAATGGCGGCAGAGTTGACATCGTCAATGGTGGTACAAGCAGAGGCATAAATGGCGGCAGAGTTGACATCGTAAATGGTGGCGATAGGATTGGCATCGGTGAAAATGGCATCTTCAGAGGTAATGGCAGAGGCGAAAATGGCATCGATGTAAGTGCCATCAACGGAGTTACGGAAGGTGAGAGAAACGGCGTGAGTGGTATCGGCAATGGTGGTGTTGACGTAATTACTGGGAATGGAAGAACCATTAATGGAGCTACATTTAATGGAGGTGTACATGTTAACGGTAGAGAAGTAACAGAAGTTGATAGATACAACGGTGGTAAGTATATTTATTCTTATACCATTTACAATTTGAAATTAATAAATAAATAATACAATTGTAGGTGAGTGAGAATATATGAATATCCATGAATCATGTATAATCAGTGAATACTGTATGTTGTAATGTGGTACGACATTTGATATTTAAGAAATTACGCATTGCATAAACTTATTATTTATATTTTACAGACTAATTTTCATTACAGGCGGTGTAGTTAATGGAGGTAGTCGCAGACCAGGTGAGTTCTCCTAATGATTACACTATCTGTTTACCGTTTTGTACCTGCAGGAGCAGAGCTATTCTTTGTTGTAGCCATCTCTGTCCTCGCCACTTCATATTCTTAATAATTTCATATCAGTAGCACACTTAAACAGAATCTGATCCCTTTAACAGATACTTATAATCTGATCCCTTTAACAGGTCATATGTTTATATCAGAAACATTCATGGCTTTAGTACTGATCTTTAGGGAGCCCCACCTGTTATCCTTCACCTCATTCCAACACCACCTCCATCTTTTTTGTCATTCATTTACTCTACTTCATTATTCTAAGGAGTACTTTCCCTTTTTCACCCCTACTTTCTTTTCTAGTTTGAAGAACAGTTTCTGATGTGCCATGGCAAATAATTTTTTGTAGTCAAGGAAGATGCATTCCACCCATCCTTGTCTCTTGCTCTCTCTGTAAATTCCTGTTGTAGAACTCCAGGTTTTTTTCCCCTGAATCTGTGTTGTGAAACTTGCCCTCACCAGGAGCTTCACTATCAATGGCACTTCTGGCTTTTGGTGCCCTAGACATAAAAAATGCCCCCCTTTTTACCAAAATTTAAGCTAAAGAAGGTCTAATGACTCTCACGTGGGATATTTTGTACTAAAATGGAAGCACTAGTGCTTCTTTAAGAAAATAAAAAAATGAGTGTGCTATGTTGCCCCTCACCACCAGTTGGTGGCTCCTGTACTGCAGCTACTCCTATAAGGAGTGTTTACGTGTTTGTGTACTCACTTAGGTGTGGTTGCAAAGGTCAAGTCTCAGCTCCTGTCTCTGCCTCTTTGCTGGTGTGTACTAGGTTCACACTCTCCAGGCTTCGAGAGCCTTATCATAACTCTTCTTAAAACTGTGTTTTGATCGTGCGTCTGCCACTTCATTCTCTAAGTCATTCCACTTTCTAACTATTCAAAGGCTGAAGAAATACTTCCTAGAGTCCCTGTGACCCATCTGTGCCTTCGTGTTCCTGCTTCCCATCTCTCAAACAATCTATCCCTATTCACCCTGTCAATTTCTATCAGTATTTTGTGCGTTATCATATCCCTGGTCCTGTCCTCCAGCAACATAAGGTTAATCTCTCCGTTAATCTCTCCTCATAAGACATACTCCTTAGCTCCAGGACTAATCTCATTGCAAGCCTCTGCCTTTTTGCCAATTCCTTGATATGCTTGACTAGATTTGGGTTCCACACTGGTGCTGCATACTCCAATATAGGCCTGACGTGCACTGTATACAGTGTTGTGAATGACTCCTTACTTGGATGTCTAACAACTAGTCTTTGATTTGCCAGACTTTCATTTGATGCAGCAGTTATTTGATTGATGTGTGCCTCAGATGATGTGCTTAGTACAGTACTCATCTGCAATCTTCATTACACTTGCTAGGGTTAAACTCCAGTAGCCATATGCCAGACCAGACCTGCAGCTTGTCCATATCCATTTGTAACCTTTACTGGTTTTCGTCTGCTTATACTCTCCTCATAATTTCGCATAATCTGCAAACATGGATTCCTGTGATTCTTTCCATTGCATCATGTTATTCACGCATACAAGAACTAGTACTGATCCTTGTGGAACCCTACTCGTCACATGCACTCATTCCGACACCTCTTCAAGCACAATCACTTGTTTTTTCATTCCTTTTGGGTATGCCTTGATCCATTGTATGTTTCTTCTGCTGTACTGTGTCAAAAGCCTTCTTACAGTCCAAGAAGATATAATCTACCCAATCCTCTCTCTTTCCTTCCTTACCTCTGTTACCTTGTCGTAGAACTCCAGTAGGTTTGTGAGGCAGGATTTACCATCTTGAAAACTGTACTAGTAGTCATGTATCAACTCTCACTCCTTTCTGAGTGCTCCACCACTCTTCTGATAATCTTATCCATAATCTTATATACTATGCATGTCAGTAGCACTGGTCTGTAATTTAATTCTGTCTTCTTTCTTAAAAACTGGGACTACATTTACAGTGTTCCACACCTCCGGCAGTTGCCCTGTGTCGATAAACTTGTTGAAGGTTGTTGTTAGTGGCACACACAATATCTCCGTGTACTTACCTATTTGTGGTTACAGGGGTCGATTCATAGCTCCTGGCCCCACCTCTTCACTGGTCGCTACTAGGTCCTCTCTCTCCTACTCCATGAATATCAAATCGTCTTAAAACTATGTATAACTTTGTAACTAGTTCAGCTATCATTATGTACCTCTGTAATGTTGAGGTACACTCCCTGGACCCATTATGTACCTCTGTAATGTTGAGGTACACTCCCTGGACCCATTATGTACCTTTGTAATGTTGAGGTACAGTCCCTGGACCCATTATGTACCTCTGTAATGTTGAGGTACAGTCCCTGGACCCATTATGTACCTTTGTAATGTTGAGGTACAGTCCCTGGACCCATTATGTACCTCTGTAATGTTGAGGTACAGTCCCTGGACCCATTATGTACCTCTGTAATGTTGAGATACAGTCCCTGGACCCATTATGTACCTTTGTAATGTTGAGGTACAGTCCCTGGACCCATTATGTACCTCTGTAATGTTGAGGTACAGTCCCTGGACCCATTATGCACCTCTGTAATGTTGAGGTACAGTCCCTGGACCCATTATGTACCTCTGTAATGTTGAGGTACAGTCCATGGACCCATTATGTACCTCTGTAATGTTGAGGTACAGTCCCTGGACCCATTATGTACCTCTGTAATGTTGAGACAAAGTCCCTGGACCCATTATGTACCTCTGTAACGTTGAGGTACAGTCCCTGGACCCATTATGTACCTCTGTAATGTTGAGGTACAGTTCCTGGACCCATTATGTACCTCTGTAATGTTGAGGTACAGTCCCTGGACCCATTATGTACCTCTGTAATGTTGAGGTACAGTCCCTGAACCCATTATGCACCTCTGTAATATTGAGGTACAGTACCTGGACCCAATATGTACCTCTGTAATGTTGAGGTACAGTCCCTGGACCCATTATGTACCTCTGTAATGTTGAGGTACAGTCCCTGGACCCATTATGTACCTGCAATATTGAGGTACAGTCCCTGGACCCATTATGTACCTCTAATGTTGAGGTACAGTCCCTGGACCCATTATGTACCTGTAATATTGAGGTACAGTTCCTGGACCCATTATGTACCTCTGTAATGTTGAGGTACAGTCCCTGGACCCATTATGTACCTCTGTAATGTTGAGGTACAGTCCCTGGACCCATTATGTACCTCTAATGTTGAGGTACAGTCCCTGGACCCATTATGTACCTCTGTAATGTTGAGGTACAGTCCCTGGACCCATTATGTACCTCTGTAATCTTTTAACTACCGCCCACAGGATGGGTATGGGGGGTCCATAATAAAAATATTAAACTAACCTAACTACGTCACTTGCCAGACTGTTCCACTTCCTGACAACTCTGTAGCTGAAGAAATACTTCTAACATCCCTCTGACTCATCTCAGTCTTCAACTTGTGTGCGTGTGTGTGCTCACCTATTTGTGGTTGCAGGGGTCGAGTCATAACTCCTGGCCCTGCCTCTTCACTGATTGCTACTGGGTCCTCTCTCTCCCTGCTGCATTAGCTTTATCATACCTCATCTTAAAACTATGTATGGTACCTGCCTCCACTAAGTCACTTTCTAGGCTATTCCACTGCCTGACAACTCTATGACTGAAGAAATACTTCGTGTGTGTGTGTGTGTGTGTACTCACCTAGTTGAGGTTGCAGGGGTCGAGTCCAAGCTCCTGGCCCCGCCTCTTCACTGGTCGCTACTAGGTCACTCTCCCTGAGCCGTGAGCTTTATCATACCTCTGCTTAAAACTATGTATGGATCCTGCCTCCACTACATCGCTTCCCAAACTATTCCACTTCCTGACTACTCTGTGGCTGAAGAAATACTTCCTAACATCCCTGTGATTCATCTGTGTCTTCAACTTCCAACTGTGTCCCCTTGTTGCTGTGTCCCATCTCTGGAACATCCTGTCTTTGTCCACCTTGTCAATTCCTCTCAGTATTTGGTATGTCGTTATCATGTCCCCCCTATCTCTCCTGTCCTCCAGTGTCGTCAGGTTGATTTCCCTTAACCTGTGTGTGTGTGTGTGTGTGTGTGTGTGTGTGTGTGTGTGTGTGTGTGTGTGTGTGTGTGTGTGTGTGTGTGTGTGTGTGTGTGTGTGTGTGTGTGTGTGTGTGTGTGTGTGTACTCACCTAGTTGTACTCACCTAGTTGAGGTTGCGGGGGTCGAGTCCGAGCTCCTGGCCCCGCCTCTTCACTGATCGTTACTAGGTCACTCTCCCTGAGCCGTGAGCTTTATCATACCTCTGCTTAAAGCTATGTATGGATCCTGCCTCCACTACATCGCTTCCCAAACTATTCCACTTACTGACTACTCTGTGGCTGAAGAAATACTTCCTAACATCCCTGTGATTCATCTGTGTCTTCAGCTTCCAACTGTGTCCCCTTGTTACTGTGTCCAATCTCTGGAACATCCTGTCTTTGTCCACCTTGTCAATTCCTCTCAGTATTTTGTATGTCGTTATCATGTCCCCCCTATCTCTCCTGTCCTTCAGTGTCGTCAGGTTGATTTCCCTTAACCTCTCCTCGTAGGACATACCTCTTAGCTCTGGGACTAGTCTTGTTGCAAACCTTTGCACTTTCTCTAGTTTCTTCACGTGCTTGACTAGGTGTGGGTTCCAAACTGGTGCCCCATACTCCAATATGGGCCTAACGTACACGGTGTACAGGGTCCTGAATGATTCCTTATTAATATGTCGGAATGCTGTTCTGAGGTTTGCTAGGCGCCCATATGCTGCAGCAGTTATTTGGTTGATGTGCGCTTCAGGAGATGTGCCTGGTGTTATACTCACCCCAAGATCTTTTTCCTTGAGTGAGGTTTGTGTGTGTGTGTGTGTGTGTGTGTGTGTGTGTGTGTGTGTGTGTGTGTGTGTGTGTGTGTGTGTGTGTGTGTGTGTGTACTCACCTA